GAGCTCACACAGCAGCGCTGGCTTGGTCACAGACCAGAGTAAGCGGATGCACATTGTCCTTGCTGCAACGTAAATTGAATCACGAGTCTGAATTATTCTGGTAGCACCCGGAAGGGTTGACTTGTTGGGAAGAGGTTCTGGAGGAGGCCAGTGGTCCCGTCTAGGTGGTGGAGCCTGTTTAAACACGGAAGGTGCCGCAGCTCCCGAGCAGGCACCTCCTTCCCAAGTGATCTCCCTGAGATGGCTTCACCACAGGCAGAGCTCTGCTGGGCCAGCACCAGGCCGAAAGCACCGCTCTGGACATCCGTGTTGTGGGATGCTCCCGCCCGCCAGCCCGGGGCTTTGCCTGTCCCGAATCCCAGCACCGCGCCTGTGCCGAGCCCGAGCGCTGCCTCTTCAGGGCTGGGTCTGCAGCCTGCCGGTGCCCGTTCCGGGTAATGTCCCTGACCGTGGCTGTTTCTCCAACAGATTTGTGCTCCTGCAGATCCATCTGTCCCCCTGACTGTTAAAAACCACACTGAGGTTCTCCGGTGCTTCACCGTCCTGGGTAAGGGATGAGGCGGCGCGGCTGCACCCGCGGGTCGGTCCCCTTGGTGAGGTGTGGGTGTGCTGGCCGTGGCTTTGCCCGATGCTCCGTGGTCCTCTCTGAGGAGTGGTGTGTGGTGAAGGAGGGGTTTGCTCCCCCCTGCTCTCGGGGGATATCGTGGACACCTCTTAGCCCCGTGGGGAGGGTGGGGGTTTCTGTCCCAGCTCCAGCCCCTGCCTTCAGCCTTGCAGCGTGTTCCTGCAGGCTGGCATCCAGGGAGAGCCCCTCTCGCTGCAGCTCTTGGAGGAAGAGCACGGGGCCAGCTCCGCTCCCCTGGAGCTCGCTGCTGGCTCAGACCTCATCATCCCCCTCCAGGGACCTTCCCAAAGGCGCCCGGCTCTGTTTCAGAGGTTTCTTCAGAGCCTTTTGAGCTGTACCAGCCCACTGAGACCTCTTGAGCCAGGTTCTGCAGCGTGCCGTGCCTGTGGCCAGGGGCACTCCGTGTGGTTTGGCTCTGGGGTTGCCCTGCTCATCCGTACCCCTTGTCGCTGGTATCTTGTGTACAGCTGATGCGGTTGTTATTCTGGGTTACTGCAAACCCTCAGAGCACAGCGGGGTCCCCTGTGGTCGGACTGAGCAGGAGACATGGGCTGACCTGCGGCTTCTGCGCTCCCAGCCGGCTCATGGAGCCCTGTGGTGGAGCCCCGTGGTGGAGTTACAGAATCACAGAATGGCAAGGGTTGGAAGGGACCTCGGGAGATCACCCAGTCCCACCCCCCTGCTCCAGCAGGTTCTCCCTAGAGCAGGGGGCACAGGACAGCGTCCAGGCGGGGGTTGAAGATCTCCAGAGAAGGAGACTCCACAGCCCCCCTGGGCAGCCTGGGCCAGGGCTCGGCCACCCTCAC